ATCTCCTCCTACGAGATCACATCGCTTTTGGTGCAGGAGTGCAGAGAACGATTGAACAACATAGCTACAAAGAACCAGGTGCACGGAATCTGGGTGCCCGGCCACAGGGACATAGCCGGCAACGAACTGGCTGACGAGCTAGCCCGCTGCGCAGCCTCCACCAGTATGGTAGGGCCCGAACCATTCACAGCGGTGGGTCCCCACACTGTGAAGGAGCTGCTCCGCAAGGAAGAAAGAGTGTGCATGGAAAGGTATTGGCAGCGAGCGCACGGTATGCCAAGCTGCTAGTTGGGGGTATAACCAAAAAAGATTTAAATTGTTAATCAACCTCCCAAGAAACAAACTCAGGATCCTGTTGCATTCTATACCGGCCACTTCATGCTGAAAAGGCACTTAACTAACATGGGCCTACCATCTTGCGCCAACTGTCGGTTTTGCGACAGGGACCCTGAAACCCCGGAGCACCTGCTAATCGACTGCATTGCAGTCTGTARGCGCAGGTTGAAGGCCCTTGGAGCCATGTTTCCGGATAGGGTTCACATCGCCTCGCTAGCACTCAGCAAAATACTGGACTTCGTCAATATGCTGGGGCTAAGCGCGTCCCTGTGAGTTAGGAAAGGACACAATAGACCTATSGTCGCAGTGCATTCCTCAGTTATGTATCTATCTATCTATCTAATATACCCAACTAAGTAAAACTCTATGATAATATAAAAGGCTGTGATTTAGAATAGCATCCCCCGATTTCGGGGTTAGAATTGGTATGTAAGGATAGAGGAGGTCCTCCAGATCAATAATATACATTGCTGCACATAAATATTGGCACAGCAGCCATTTTTATTTTTCGGCTATTTTAAAAGCAGACTAATAGGTTACTTAGTGTAAAAATATTTTCCCTTGTTAAATCCATTCATTAACTACCACATACACTAATTTTTTTATAATAATTCATTTTTAATTATACTTTTTAATTCACATTCATAAAAAATAAGCAATTTCTGCAACACAAAAGTATTGGCACACTCAGTAAATTATAAAGAAAAAAACATGCAGTTTAATTAATATAAGGTGGGTAGTCCATTTTGCTTGATTACAGCTTCCAGGCGCCTTGGCATGGATAATACTAGTTTTTGGATTGTTTGCTGGGTTATTTTGTGCCATTCCTCTAACAAAGCCTGCTTCAACTTCAGTTTGTTGCAAACTGCCCCCTTTCTTATCCGCCTTTCCATCTCCTCCCACAAATGCTCAAATGGGTTGAGGTCTGGAGATTATGGTGGATGGGGCAAGACGTGTGCGGTGTTATGAGTTAACCACATTCTTAAAATATGGGCCGAATGCTTCGGGTCATTGTCTTGCTGAAATGTGAATGAGCTTGGTAAATTTAGTTTTTGTGCACTTTTTTCAAATTATGATTCACAATATTTAAATAAACCGTTTTGTCCATAATGTCTTCTATGAATACCAGCTCACCCACACGTGCAGCAGCCATGCATCCCCACACCATCACACCACCACCACCGTATTTCACTGTTGGAGCAAGATTTTGTTTTTCAAATTTAGTGTTTGGCTTTCTCCAGACCGAAGTACGACCATTTCTGCGAAAGATATTGTACTTACTCTCGTCTGAGAAGAGTACTTGGTCCCAGAATGTGTTTGGTTTTTTCTTATACTCTTTTGCGTAGTCTATGTGCTTCTTCTGGTTACGTGAAGCTATCAACGGCTTCTTTCGGGCAACACGCGAATTATAGCCAGCCAAATGTAGTACTCCTCTAACGGAAGAGGAATGAAATGCTAAGATACTGTGGAGGAAAAGTTGTTCAATGCTAAAATACTGTGGATGGCGTAGCCGGTGTTGGACCGGCCAAGGTTTTTTTTTTTTAAAGCGCGGCCGAAGGATAGATGCAATTATATACGTATATACATTGCACTGAAACATTTTGGCTTTCTTTATTTTGATTTCTTGTCCATACAAAAATGTTGGCTGGGTTGCATTGGTTTCAGTTTGTATGGAAAAATGAGCAAAAACACTGATTTTTGGTCATTTTCAAAGGCCTCCCTACGGGTCTATAGGGGCTCTAGGGGTTCGAGGGGGGGTTTATTAAAAAGTTCGATCCTTACTCTTTCCAATAAGGGGTCGGGAGGGAGGTTAGCCCGACCCTGTTTCTCTCCATAAACGATACTTAACCGGCGCGATACTAAACAATCACCATTGGTTATTTTTTATGAATGTGAATTAAAAAGTATGGCAATATTACGATTCTTTTGGCGCTGCAATTTGATGATACRGATGGATAGAGGAGGTACTCAGGATTAAAAAATGTGTGATCATATACCCTCCTCATACTCATAGTTTTCGAGATATTTCGGTTTAAAATTAAAAAATTTGTAAAAACAATGCTCGTTATTTCACTATGTTGACCCCACTTTTCACACATTTTTCAATTAATATATATATTTAATTAACTGTACACTTTCAAATATATCAAAAATTTACACTAATTGTGTTTTTTTACGAAAATAAATATATTTTAAAAACTATTTTGCACATTCAAACTTTCAAAAGATTTGTGTGTTTACATTTATGACAAATAGCAGTGTTGATATCCTTTGTGTCCTGATAATATAATCAAAAATGTTTCTGTTTCATATTTAGAGATATAAATGATTCAAAATGAACTATTGTTTCATATATTTATAAGGATAATATAACATATATTATTTA